TTATAGGCGCGTCCTTCCACTGAGCAGATTGGCGTTTGGTTGAGTTGAGGTTCTGCTTAATTCGTGCAAAGTAGGCCAATCCTGTCAACAATCCCGACCCCTCGCACCTACACTAAGGCGACCTCGGGACCCTGGGCCTCTCCGTGGATAGCTGCCATGGACGCAGAGATGGCATCTTGGAGATCCACCGGAACCTATGTCGACCTAGTTCCCCCACCTTGGGTGAACGTAGTTTATGGCCGGTGGCTCTTCAAGGTGAAGCGCCCTCCAGTAGTGCCGCCGGAGTTCAAAACGCGCTACGTTGCTAGAGGCTTTAGTCAGCGCGAGGGTGTTGACTTCTTTCAGACCTTCGCTCCGACCTCAAAGATTTCCACTCTTTAGGCGCTGCTACACATACCAGCACAGCGTGACTACGAGCTGCACTCCCTCGACTAATCTATAGCATTCCTCCAGGCTAGTCTACATGAGCAGCTCAACCTTCGCCGTCCACAAGGCATAACCGGCACCTTTGCCCCTGGGATCGAGTGGCTCCTCCGGCGCCCAGTTTACAGCCTGCGGCAGGCGCCCCGTGAGTGGCATGACACGCTGCGTGCTATGTTAGCTGACCTGCAGCTCTTCCCGTTGTCTGTAGACCCTTCGCTCTTCGTTCGTTCAGGTCAAACCCCGTTCTACATCCTTTTCTACATAGGCGACCTGGTCTACGCTACTGCAGATAGAGACGCACTGGCCTTCGTGAAGGCTGAGCTTGTGAGGAGGCACACATGCACCGACCTAGAAGATCTGCACTGCTTCCTTGGACTGCAGATCTCCAGGGACAGAGCAGCGCACACCATCACTCTCATACAGTCACACTTGGTGCGCCAGGTTCTTCAAAGGTTCGGCCTTTAGTTCTCCTCCGCACAGCGCACACCTCTGCCAGTAGATTACAGGCTCTCGGCTCTAGTCCCTCAGGAGTCTGTAGAGTGTAGTGGTCCATACATAGAGCTGGTGGGTTGCCTCGTATACCTGATGACTTGCACTCATCCAAATCTTGCATACCCTCTGTGCATCGTGGCCCGCTTTGTGGCGACAGGCAGACACCGACCACAGCACTGGTCGGCCGCTAAGAGGGTTTTGCGTTATCTAGCAAGTACATTGGGCATGGGGCTAGTGCTAGGAGGACACAGGCCAGTGGCTATTACAGGGCACCGAGACACTCTGTGGGCAGACGACGCTAAGACGCTAAGGTCCTCCCAGGGCTACTGCTTTAGCTTTGGTGTAGGTGCCATCACGTGGAGGTCCACCCTCTCGTCGTCTGTTGCTCTGTTTAGTTGTGAGGTTGAGATCTATGCTGGTGCTATGGCGGCACAAGAGCTCCGCTGGCTGACATTCTTGCTCACAGACTTAGGTGAGCAGCCTAGCTCGGCCCTGGTACTGTATGGTGACAACAAGGCCATGATCCTCCTGTGTCAAGAGCCTCGACTTGAGGGCTGAGCGAAGCACATCCAGCTGCAGTACTTCCTCCTGCACGAGGTACAACAGCGCCGCTAGGCCCGCGTAGTACACTTGGCCACTAGTGCCAAGACAGTTGATATCTTTACTAACATTCTTGTGCCTAAAGACCATCAGCGGTACTGTGTACAGCTTGGTTTAGTTCCAGTAGCTCCTCACTAGCTAGGACCTTGATTGTGTACTACTCTTTTTATATTCTCCTGACTGGCCTCGCGACTTCTGCTCCTGTGGCCGGACTAGTGGTGCCGCCTGGTTTGCACTTGTCTAGTTTGTACTCGTTTGACTGATCTTCGGATCCTTGCCTTAGAGGTTGGACTAGTAGTACCTCCCTGAGTTTTGTGTCCCTTGCCAGGCACTGCCCCTTGTTTTGCCTAGGGGGTGTGTCAACATATATTTGTCCATGCTTATAGGCTAGATAGGTGCATGGTCATAGAGAGTACAAAAACCAACCATATGAACCCCTGTATGCCCTCATTCTAGTTATTGCGCTATTCTGAGATGAACAAGCAGAGTAGCGCGGAATTGAATAACGAGATGTTGAATTACCGAATGTCGTACAATGGAATGACGAGGCAAGACATAGGATCACCGGAGCTATCCTAGCCAAGTGATTGAACAGGTTCGGAGGATGACACGTTTGGACCAAAGCTAGGACCGAGTTTGTTGCTGTGTCGATTTGGTGTACGCGGTAGCGATGTGGCGCGCTAAGGAATGGGAAAATCCTTACATTTCTTGTTATGAATGGAACTGCCAAGTAGCGCGGAGGGCAATGGCGAAATTGTGAACGAATGGATGACAATAAAATTAAAGACAACACAATATATAGGAAACCTAGGGTGATCCTGGACGTCGGAAAGGAAGGTTCGGGAAAGGTGTCGAAGGGTCTCGAGGTGTTCAAGCGAGGTCCGGAAAGGCCCAGGAGGCTCGAACTGAAAGTTATGGAACCCTATCGCTGGTTCGGGACTGTTCGAGTCGTACACCCTGTAGCAAGCCTCAGTAAGGAACTACTAATTCCTTACACTCTCCCCCCTTATAGATAAGCACACAAATAAACAAAACTACACACCCTCTAACTGAATCTCATCGAAGTGAAGACACCACTGTTGAGAATCTCGAGCTTCTTCAAGGAAACTCCATCTAAAGATGGAAACGTGTCGAAACGATCGCCGTCGATCATAGCCATCGAATCTTTGTAGAAAGAGATACCACCGCGCCACAGCTTCCGTTGCTCCAGCGAGTCCTTCACTGAAAATTACAAACCCCGTTGTCGTTTACTGTATTATTACAGCAACACTACATTATTCACGCTGCTGCAAGTTGGCGAGGCGAATCTGCTGCATGCGCCAAACTTGTCCGTAGCTCCACAACTGTAGATAGCTCCTCGTTTAATTCCTCATAAGTCGTGACACGTGCAGAAACACGCATTCGTATTTCGCAGGTCGGCTTCTTTCCACACTCCTTAATTTGGTCCCCAAGTTCTCCGGTACCGGTATGATCTCTGCAATTTTCTGCTTGTTCTGGAGTACCTCCCGTAATTTCTCCAAGGCTCTAGCCCCTCGAGAATTACAAGTTTTCATTAAAGCATCTTTATAAGATAACTTTAACGAATCCTTATAATTTCTTGGGTCTTCAAGGAGTTTCCCCGTCTCGGCAGAGTCCTTTTTCGTGGAGTCAGATTTTTCCTCGGCGAATTCCTCTGGCAAAGACTGGTCATGGGGTGGAGATTTTTCCCCATCATTTTCTCCTGCTCGCGTCGAATCAGCTGCGTCGAGCTCTCAACAAGCAGACCATTAAGAACAAGTACCCGATTCCACGAATTAATGATCTGCTCGACCAGCTTCGGGGAGCCACAGTATTCTCAAAATTAGATCTGTGGTCCGGATACTGGCAGATAAGAATGGCGGACGATTCCGTTCACAAAACAGCCCTCCGAACTCGGTACGGATCGTACGAGTATCTGGTAATGCCGTTCGGACTCACCAACGCACCGGCAACGTTTCAAGCAGAAATGAATCATATCCTACGCCCACTCTCAGACGAATGCGTGGTGGTGTATCTGGACGACATTCTCATCTACTCGCGCGACATGAAGCAGCACGTCGAACACCTACGACGCGTCTTCGAGATTCTTCGACGAGAACGGTTCTATGTCAAATTATCCAAGAGCGACTTCGCCCTTGAGAAAGTCCAATTCCTCGGACATATCGTAAGCGCTCAAGGAGTTCACGTCGACCCCAAGAAAATCGAAGCCGTACGTACGTGGAAGACACCCGAGAACGTGAAGGAGTTACAGCAGTTTCTTGACTTCGCTAACTACTACAACAGGTTCGTGCCTCAATACGCGAAAATCGCCGTGCCACTCACGAATCTACTAAAAAAGAACACGCCCTATAAATGGGAGCCGAAGCACCAGGAAGCCGTGGAGCAGCTGAAGCAAGCACTCGCGTCCGCACCAGTACTCATCTTGCCAGACCCCGAACGCGACTACGTCATCGAAGCTGACGCCATCGACCAGGCAGTGGGAGCAGTCTTGACACAAGACCAGGGGAATGGACTGCAACCAATCGCCTACCTCAGCAAGAAACTACACGGGGCAGAACTCAACTACCCGATACATGACAAGGAGGCCCTAGCTATCATCATCGCCTTCAAAATGTGGAGATTCTATCTCGAAGGGCGCAAGACGACAGTCTACACCGACCATTGCAGCCTAAAATATTTGAAGACGCAACCAAGCCTTTCCTGGCGACAAGTTCGATGGATCGACTTCCTCGAGACGCTCTTCCACTACGACATCGTGTACAAGCCTGGCCATAAAAACAAAGCAAATGCACTTAGCCGGCCTGCATACGTTGCCGCTATCCAAGTTGAAGGGATGAATCCACTCCTCAAGGGACTCTTTACACATGGGTACACCATCGACCCCGAAATTCCCTTGGCAAAAAAACGACATCTGCTACAGTGGGACAACGACATCGCGTATCGGAAAGGATCAACGAAGATCTGGATACCTAATTACCCTCCATTGCGCCAGTTACTACTCGAAGAATACCACGACGTCCTGTACGCGGGACACTTCGGTAGCAACAAGACACTCACCGGTATCGTCAAATACTACTACTGGCCGCACATGGCAGATGACATACAGAAATTCGTCACCTCGTGCACTACATGTCAGCGGATGAAGAGTAGCAAGCAGAAAAAGGCGGGTCTACTACAGCCTCTTCCTGTCCCAGAACAGCCATGGCAAGTGGTCAGCCTAGACTTCATCACCGGGCTAACAACTACCACAAGCGGTCATGACGCGATCCTCGTCGTCATTGACAAGTTCTCCAAAATGGGACACTTCATGCCGACACATACGACGGCACGCACCGAGGAGACGGCACAACTCTTTGCTCGCTACATCATCTCATAGCATGGCATTCTAACCACACTCATCTCCGACCGAGACCCTAAGTTCACCAGCAAGTTCTGGAAAGAACTGATGGCTCTGCTCGGGACCAAACTTGCCATGTCATCCGCCTACCATCCGCAGACAGATGGACAGATCGAGCGCCTCAACCAAATTGTGGAGCAACTCCTCCGCGCAGCCTGCACGGACGACATCTCCAAATGGGACTTGCATCTGCCCGTCTTGGAGTTTGCCTACAACAATGCTACTCACGCCGCTACTGGACAGACGCTGTTCTTCCTCTGCTACGGACGCCACCCACTCACACCTCAACAGCCAAACATACCAACCACAGTCCAACCCGCTCATGATTTCATTACGACTATGCACAAACTTTGGGATCGGACCCACACGCGCCTTCTCGACATACAGCAACAACAGAAGCGCCAGACCGATCGCCACCGCACAGACCACACCATCACCGTGAGAGATCAAGTCCTACTTGACACGCGCAATCTTGACATCAGCCACCTCCCATCCAAACTGCGACCTCGCTTCTGCGGGCCTTTTCTCGTTGAAGCACAGGTCACTCCTCTTACCTTCCGCTTACGCCTGCCAGCTACCTGGAAGATTCACAACGCCTTCCATGTCCAACTCTTGAAGCCCTACCGAGATCCCAACACGATCTTCTCTGGACGCCGACCGCCGCCGCCGCCGCCCGTCCTCGTCCATGATGAACCCGAGTACGAGGTCGATTCCGTGCTTGCTCACCGCTGTCGACGGAATGGCACAGTGGAGCTTCTCATCCGTTGGAAGGGTTATGATCCTTCAGAGGATAGTTGGGTCTCTGAATCCGAGATGGACCACGCTCGTCGTCCTCTTCACGACTACCTTGTCAAGCAGGGTGTTACGTCTACCACCAAGCTTTGAGGGGGGGAAGTGTGAGAGTACGACCCTGTTCCATTCCTCTCTCCTTTCCATATTCTCTTTCCATTCCATTCCTCTTTTTATCCTGATACATTTGGTTTTTATCTCATTCCATTTGGATTCCTATTTCTCCTTTTCCATCAACCTTTGGTTTATCCTGTTATTATCATTATATCACCGACCAGGCTTGGGATGTACTGGTACACTATATCTGGCGCAATCCTGCCGTAGTCCCTTTAAGCCAATAACCTTGCGTGGCTATACGCAGGGTGATTCTATTTTCTAGAAGGGTCTATTCCCTTGGGATAGGATAAACCTGGTTACTTGATGTACTTTGGAAGTATAAAAGCGCCTTGTACTGATCGATAGTGCAACCTTTCCTCGACACATTCGATCCTGTGACACGCTCCATCTCGTCCGTTCAAGCAGAAGTCAATCCGACGGTCCAAACTCCAAGTGATCTGAAGATATTCTTGAGTCGCGTTCAGCAGCTTTTGGTGCCCGGTTGGAATCGTTTCCTGCTACGATTCTCGGTCGTCGATGTCGGCTGTCGAACGATCGGACGCTCCAAAGAATTTTGCGGCTTGCGAGGTCCCGTTCCCAATCGCGCAGAAACTTGAACTCGCTCAGGTGGGCGCGGTTTCGGAGCCTCGAGAAACTGTTGCGTCTGCTGCGTCGTCGTCGTTGTCGTTTCGTGTTGCGCTCCGGCGAGTCGAGCTACTCGCTCGAACTCGTTTCACCACGCTTCGCGATCGGCTCGCATCTCCTCCAGAAGGGCTGCGATGCTCACGAAGAGCTGCTGGGTAACCTCAGCGTTGTCGAAGGTCGCCATCCTATTCAAAACACGCGCGGGGGGGGTAATTTGAAATAGCGCGGAGCTGGTGCTTACCAGAATCGGCGTCGAATTGGTCGCCCCCGGCGGTTTTTCGAGGCAGGTTTTCCCGCTGCTGCTGCTTTGTTGAGCGCGACCGAGTGAGAAGAGCTCTGATACCAAGTGTCACAGGCTCGAATGTGTCGAGGAAAGGTTGCACTATCGATCAGTACAAGGCGCTTTTATACTTCCAAAGTACATCAGGTAACCAGGTTTATCTTATCCCAAGGGAATAGACCCTTCTAGAACTAGAATCACCTTGCGTATATCCACGTGAGGCTATTGGATTTAAGGGATTACGGCAGGATTACGCTAGATATAGCGCGCCAGTACATTCCGAGCCTGGTCGGTGATATAATCATAATAACAGGATCAACCAAAGGATAATGGAAATGAGGAATAGGAAACCAAATGAGATGAGATAAAGACCAAATGAATCAGGATAAAAAGAGGAATGAGATAGAAAGAAATATGGAAAGGGGAAATTGGTGTAACGGTGTCGTACTCTTACACATCCTCATCATCTGTTGTACCTCTGCTATGTTGTTTGATTTCTCATTGAATCATAATGTACGTCTTAAATGTAAATCATTTTTCCTAACTATTGCTTCATCAACAATACCATATGATAGGTTCTCCCCTTGCGATGTTCCCCAAAGACCCAGTGTCTGGCTTGTTTACGCTGGACACTGCTTCCCCCCTCAATTAGGGCGTCCTCCCCAGGCCGTGCGTCTACCCAGGTTGCCACTACTTGCTCATTCCAGTCGCTCACTCACCCGTCGCTCCTCTTGCACCACCGCCTAGGTCACCCCGCACTCCCACGTCTGCGTCACATGTCCTAGCACGGTCTCATTCTAGGTCTCCCTGCGTCGCTTCCTGCCCTGCCACCCTCGCCTGCGCTACCATGCACACTCTGCATCGAGGGCCGGCTGCGCCGTGCTCCTCACTCCTCCTCGCTTTGCGCTTCCACCGCACCCCTCCAGACCCTGCACCTAGACGTCTGGGGCCCAGTCCACGTCCCCGGACTTCGTCGCGAGCACTACCTTCTCGTGCTCATCGATGACTACACGCGCTACACCATGGTGTTTCCCCTGGAGCAGAAGGCCGACGTGCCTGACGTTCTTATCCCTTGGGTTGTAGCCGCGCGTCTCCACCGCGGTCTTCCTAATCTGTGTCTCCACTTCGACTGTGGCGGCGAGTTTGCCTCTGGTTGGCTTGGACAGTTCTGTCGTGCGGAGGGCATCACCCAGTCGTACACCCTACCAGACTCCCCGCAGCAAAATGGGATCGCTAAGCGACGCATCAGTTTGGTCATGGAGGTGGCTCGTACTTCCATGATTCATGCGTGTACACCCCATTTTCAGTGGCCGTTCGCTGTTCACTACGCCGCTTACCTCTGGCCGCACTCCCAGCAGCCACAGGTTTCGCCGACCCTTCACTGAACCGAGTTCCCTGGTGATGCATCCACGTTCCACGTCTGGGGCTGCCTTGCTCACATTCGTGCCTCTGGCACAGACAAGCTCATTGCCTGCACTGTCCCCTAAGACTTCCGAGGTTTCCACCTTGACTCGTCTGACTGGCACTTCTACCAACCACCGTCTCACCGCTTCTTTCACTCCCGTGACGCTACTTTTGACGAGTCTGTCTCCTTCTACCACCGCTTTCCCCACTGAGGACTCATGGTTTCCCCTCCACTGTTTCGGGTTCCCACTCCCCCTGTAGCCCCTACTCACCTCCCTCCCCGTCCTGCTCCATCTGGTGTGTCTCACGTCACTCCCCTCACGTCGGTTGTCCCGGGCTAGGAGTTGGCTGACTATGGTGACCCCGCGGCGTGGTTCTTGCCGCCTGCCGCTCCCCCCGTGTCTCCTCCTTTGCCGTCACAGACGCCGCTGCAACAGCCACCGCAGCTGTCGTCGCAGCAGCAGCATTAGCCGCCGCCGCCGCCGCAACAGCAGCCGTTCGTGGACTCTGGGGGTGCTTGCGTTGAGGACGGTGCTAGTCCTGGGGTTCCAGTCTTGGCTTGTCAAGGCAGGCCTGGGGGTGGCACTGATGCTGGAGAAAGTTCTCGCTTTGGGGGTGCTAGAGTGGAGTGTCCCGGAGGTGGCCGTGGTGCAGCTGGCAGTCCAGGTGTTGGCGTTGAGCAGCAGCAGCAGCAGTCGCCGCCGGTTTCCGCCCTTCGCTTGCTCGGCCTTCCCTCCCCTGACCAATCGCCTGCGCCTCCCCTGCCACCTCCTCCCCTTCCTGTCTATGGCCCTGTGTTCCCTCCGCCGGACTCGACTCCGGCTTGTCTTCCCCCTCGTTCCCCTCTTGTGTCTCCTCCTCTATCTCTTGACCCGACGCCTCTATCTCATGCCTGGTCTTGCCGTCCCTCTGGTGCTCATCCTGTCTCTCCTGTTCAGCGTTCTCACCCTATGTTGCTTTGTTCCCACGCGTCTAACTACCATCGTGTTGCTCGTCCTCTTGTTCCTCGGGTCCTTGCCTCCCTCGTTACCGACCCGTCTGCTTCTGTCTCGAGTCTTGACGCTCTTGTCACTGCAGTAGCTGACTTCGCCTCTACTCGTCGCCTTGACTACGCCACAGCTCTGGTTTCTTACCCTGTCTGTCCTCTGTCCGTCGGGGGTGCGTCTGCCCTTAGCACTGACGTCCTAGAGGATAGGCAGTACGAGCTTGCTTTCCTGTCTGAGGCTGCTCCCCATCTCTGCTCCATGCTGCTAGTCCCTGAGGGTGACCCTGACCACTTTGACATCCCGACCCCTCGCACTTACACTGAGGCGACCTCGTGACCCTGGGCCTCTCAGTGGATAGCTGCCATGGAGCAGGAGATGGCATCTTGGAGATCCACCGGCACCTACGTCGACGCAATTCCCCCACGTAGGGTGAACGTAGTCGATGGCTGGTGGCTCTTCAAGGTGAAGCGCCCCCCTGGAAAGCCGCCTGTGTTCAAGGCGCGCTACGTGGCTAGAGGCTTCAGTCAGCGTGAGGGGGTGGAATTCTTTCAAACCTTCGCCCCGACCCCAAAGATGACTACTCTTCGAGCGCTGCTGCACGTAGCAGCACAGCGTGACTACGAGTTACACTCCTTCAATTTCTCCACAGCGTTTCTCCAGGGCAGTCTACACGAGCAGGTTTACCTGGCCGACTGCAAGACTTCACTGGTACCTTCCCTCCTGGGACCGAGTGGCTCCTTCGGCGCCCAGTCTACAGCCTACGACAAGCACCGCGTGAATAGCACGACACGCTGCGTACGATGCTCGCTGACCTGCAGTACTTTTCGTCCTCTACAAACCTCTGGCTCGTCTTTCGTGCTGGCCAGGCACTGTTCTACATCCTTGTCTACATAGACAGCCTGGTCTTTGCTACTGTAGAAAGAGACGCACTAGCCTTCGTGAAGGTTGAGCTGCTGAAGAGACACACCTGCACTGACCTAGGAGAGCTGCGCCAGTACCTTGGCCTGCAGATCTCCAGGGACAGAGCAGCGCGCACCATCAATCTCACACAGTCACACTTGGTGCGCCAGGTCCTTCAAAGGTTTGGTCTTCAGTTCTCCTCTACACAGCCCACACCTCTGCCAGTAGACCACAGGCTCTCAGCTCCCGTTCATTAGGATTTAGTAGAGCCCAGTGGTCCTTCTGCAGAGCTGGTGGATTGCCTCATGTACCTGATGACTTGCACTCGTCCAGATCTCGCATACCCTCTGAGCATCCTGGCTCGCTTTGTGGCCACAGGCAGATACCGACCACAGCACTGGTCGGCCGCTAAGAGGGTTTTGCGTTAACTAGCAAGTACATCAGGCATGGGGTTAGTGCTGGGAGGATGCAAGCCAATGATCTTCATTGGGCATTGTTATAATCACAATAGGCTCAGATGTGCCTAAAATGAGAGATGGAGAGCATAGTCGGATTTCCGTGAGACGGCTTCAAATAATTATAGCGATCTGATTTGAGAGTAAAATGTTGATCTGTAAATTGGATCTAGAGCGCGTTGCTGTCGCCTATCAGCAGCAATTTGAATCATGAAATTCCATGAAGATTTGATGACACCATGGCGGTTTGACTGGCAAGAGGTATAGCAGCCACTATAGTCTTGGAAGTACAAAGTTAGCAAGAAGAAATCAAGAGGGAGATGGATCCTAGCCTCTACATACCCCAAGATCCTA